GAAAGCGTTTTCGCATGGCTTCGAAGGGTTCCTCAGGTATGGCTTAAATGTCGTCCTGTGCCAAAACCACCTCTCTCTCATATCGTATGCAAATTCCTTTCAAGTGGGAGAGGTCTCTTGTCGAGTTTTCCTTCCCCCTCGCATATTTTTGGGCCCCCCAAACACAGTCGACCTAGTTATTTTCAAAGCTGTCATTTATTTAGACGCTAATTAATTTGAGAATAAATGGAACTTTGATAACTATTTTTAGCTAGGCAGGGGAAAATAATTAAGGCTTACCTTGGAGAGTATAATAGAAATGTTAAATGTTGGAACTAATTAGAAAAAAAAGTACAAAATAGTAATAGAAGTGTTATAAAGTTGAGATGAAACTTGATATTAGAAATTTCTTATTCGGTTCTATGAAAATGATTATTAATCTCCCAATTTTGACATTATAAATAGATCTTATTGTATTGTACATATATATCTGTTGTTTTATAAATTTTTCTGAGACCTTCAATTAAACCTTGTTGAAAGCCAGTAAATATTTTCTAGTTATGTTTTTTTTATAACATTTTTTTCCATATAACATTTAATCTCCCTCTAATTAAGCCGTAGAAGTGTGAAAAAGGACTTAAATCCACTTATGGTTTACTTAACTTAATTATTTTCATTATCTTTTCCGCCTCCTCTTTCAAGGAGTTTCTATTGTTAACCACTTTATTTTCTAACAATCTAACAAGGTTTCTCGTTCGCTTATCAAGCAGGGATTAACTTTTGTTTTCCTCTTTCTTGTCAGAATGAACAGAAAACACGAACTAAAACATTTACACAGCTAGCTTGAAGCTAATAACTTTTGGTGAACTTTGGCGTAGTGGAAAATTACTTGGAAACCTCAAAAGTTTTTCCCTCTTCGCTAACTGACGCAAATTGCACCGAGAATAAACGTGTCGAGAGTCGGATTGAATTGGATCGAATTGAGTCCCGATTTGACCCCTACAATAGTTGCACTTGCGTCACCGAATAACCCATCACCCACGTAATAGTTTCGGCATTACATAGGGTCTCTCTTAACCCATGGTCCCCAGTGATTAGCACTTAAAAAGCTAACCAACTGACTTAAGTAAATTCTTGGGTATTTTGGGTATTTTTCTTGACTATTTTTGGACTCTAATTGAGATGTTTTGGTTTCACTTTTTTGGCTGACAATTGCCAGCGGCTAATGTCGTGTTTAATTTGGGAAATTAGTTAATGGAATGAGGAATATAATAGAGTGCAATGTATTACAAGATTTTAACTATCTAATTTATGAGTTAAAAAATCGTTTCTTACTTGATCATTATTGAGGAAAGAAGTTCGATTTTTCGATTTGAAAATGTTTTAGTACCTTTTTAAGTATTTAATGTTTTCATTTAACTTATGCCACACACTGTAGCTATAAAAACTTGTTAATTTTTCGGCTTATTTTGACCTCCGGCCTGTCAATATTTTTTTTTTGTGCAATTTTCCTTCGATTTTTCCAGCCAGCTTCTTTTGGGTTGACATTTCGCGACACTGGACATGACATCTTGTTGGCTCATTAGCATAAACGTTTTAATTAGCTGTTTGTTTGGTCCCCGAGAACGTTAATCGATTCGATGCTGTGCTAAAACATTATGTTTTCTTTGGGCCTAAGCCAAGTTTAGTTGTAGTCATTGTAAACTGTCCAATTGAATTCAATTGAGTGGCGTTCTGTTTGATTTCATTAGCGCAAATTGGATGCATTAGAACATTTAGATAACGTTCTCTCAAGTCCGGAGGCAGTGAAACTTGCAAAAAAACAAACAAGTAAGCAAACGAACAACTCGAATGCAGTGTAAACGATTGTTAATAACTTTATATACATGTCTGAACGATACCTCCTCCTCTGCTGACGACGTAACCTGAGGCACCTTGAAATAAACTAGACGTAGCATAATATTGACATACATATGAAAATTGCACATTACCAATATTGCAACGAAACGCAGTGAATCGCCACAACCTGAGCCGAGTTGAGTTGAAATGAGTTAAGTAAAGTAAAGTTGACTTGACTGGAGTGAAGTGATATGAAATGGAATTGTTTGGCCAATTAACTTGGCTTTAAGTGCGACCGATATTTGTTCTGAGGGGGGAAAGGCTATTCAAGTAGGTGGAAATTATTCAAGGAAAAAGTGCTTTTCAATAAATAATAATGTGGATTAATTTGAGGAACATTGATTGGTCTGCTTTGACCTGAAATGGTATGGGTTAATGGGGGTGTTTCTATGGGGTTTTGAGTTAGAAGAATATTATTTATATGCAGTAATATAATTATAACAAGAATGGAAGCTAACTTTGGCATGCCGAAGTTTGTCTACCCTGGCAAATTGAAATTCGATTACTAGGAATTAGTACAATATAAATTATATATATTTATGTTAAAAAACAATAAAGTAATGCCTGCTTTCATTTCATTCACCTATTCAATTTATATTTACAGCTTTACATTCTCCGTTTTTCCATTTTCCTCTGTTTTTAACGAATATTTATATGATATAGTAGTCCGATTTCCATAAAATTGTATACAAAAATCTAGATTAATATGTAATGGCTATATATCAAATTTGATGAAAATCTGTTAAAAACTGGGAAAGTTGTTGTTCTTTTTCTTAAAATTTTCCGATCGTTCCTATGGCAGCTATATATATGTATATATATAGTCAACCGATTCGCCATGCTCCGACTTATGTAATTGTAAAATTATAGAGAAGAATAACTCTATAGTTTCATTGAAATAGCTTAAATTTGTTTCAATACAAATTTGTCACATTTGTGCATATGATTCCCAACTTGTTCTAACATCCCCGGAACGAAGTGACTGCTGCCGACCAAGTCTCAGAAATGTGTTGTGTTACAAAAGTTGCAAGTCATTCTTTATTAGTGTTCATAATTAGTAACTGATCATACATACTTACTGGTCATAAATACTTACTGATCATAGTTACTTAATTTTCATTGATAATAAATGATCATAGTTACTTACTGGTCATAGATACTTACTGTTCAGAGTTAATTACTGATCATAGTTAATTACTGGTCATCGATACTTACTGTTCAGAGTTACTTAATGATCATAGATACTTGCTGTTCATAGTTAATCATCAGTACATATGATTCCCAACTTGTTCTAACATCCCCGGAACGAAGTGACTTCTGCCGGCCAAGTCCCAGACATGTGTTGTGTTACAAAAGTTGCAAGCCATTGTTTATTAGTGTTCATAGTTAGTAACTGATCATACATACTTACTTATCATAGTTGCTCACTGCTCATAGTTACTTACTGATCATAGTAACTTACGGTTAAAAGATACTTGCTGATCCTCTACACTTAACAACCGTTTCTCTGACAAATGTAAAGTATTTCTATTTTACGCTTATATTTAATACATAAGTTGATAGTGCCTTCTTTTGATACCGAATTTCCTTAAATTTATTTTTATTTATTCTCATCTTTCTGTTTTCAGTTAATAACCATACATTCCTTTATTAATTATAAATCACTTTAGTCAAAAACTTTTCTTATCTAGTGTTGGCCAAACACAGTTTTGCTTTGAAACTGCCATAGATACAACTTGTCTGGGCCACAAATCCGATTGACGGCACCTGTTCTCCTCCACCTTCTCCTCCCCTCATCTCTCTCTATCTCTGGCCAGGTAAAAAGTCCGACACCTTCTATCGGACAGCCAATCAAGCAAACGCAGCGATCTATCAGACCTGTCCGTCTCTCATTCCGACCCTCCTCTTTAAGGCCCCCTTTAAAGCCTCCTGAAATGTGGTTCTAGCTGCAGTTGACAGGCTGAAATCATTAAGATTGTCAAAAGGAAAATGTGAAATAAAAACACAAGTAAAAATAATAGAAGTGTCTGCCGGCTGTTTCTGCTTTGTTTGGGTTTTCGATGCGTGCCCGGAATATATTTTGGAAAATTTGCAATTCAATTTAGTTTATTTTTTATTATTTAGTTGTCTCTCTGTTTCTTCTGTCAACTTTGAAGCTCCATTTGGCATGCGAATTGTGACGAAAACAGAACAAAATATGTGAGTAATTCTTGTTGGAAGGGGAAAATTTAGGAAAGAAAAACCACTTTAGATAAATAGCAGGTTTGTCAGAAAGCGTGAATAAGGGAGTGTTTGGTGTAGAGCGAGGAATAAAGAATTTGAATATTAAGTATACGCCGCGTGTGGCTAAGCTTGATTAGGCTAAATGAGTTACTTGGCTTAAGGTGATTATAAAGAATGGAAGAATGGTCTTTTAAGGTAGAAGGAATTAATTAATTTGTCTTGCTAGTTTCTACATTTTACTTTTTTTTAAGGGCTTATACACTTCATTAAAATTACATTCTAACCACTCAAACCCCCTTTCTTTAAGAAATCAACTCTGGTTTGGCATTTAAATGATTGTTAAATATTTCTATTTGATTTATTTCAACGAAAAAACTTTTTATGAACTTTTAAATAAATTGTTTATCCACTTTTTTGTATATTATAAGTGCGATTGTTTATGGCCGAGTGAAATATTTGCGCCGGTTTATTATTTTTCGATTTCTGTTTGGTTTAATTAGAAATCAAACCGGCTGCTGTTGTTGGTAATCGCAAATACCCTCAAAAATACGTTGCCAAATCACAGACCTATATATGCGTGCGATTTTATATATATACAAATATATATATTATAAATCTGTCCAGGTTTTTATAGCTGGGCCGCAATTTAATGAACGAACCAAGTATTTTTTTATGGGGCAATGGCGCCTTTGGCATTATCTACAAAACAATTTTGAATGGGTCATGTCATTGAACTGATTTGGATACGGATTCAAAGGATTGCTTTCCATATGCCTAATGCTTTAGCTGCTATCTTGATTGATTGACTCGCTGCCGAGTTGTTTGTTTGTTCCTGTTGAAAACAATTCAAAATAATAATAAACAAACTTACTTACCCTCCGGTTTTTATCTCATTGCAGACTTGAAAGAGCCGCCATATTCCTCGATTTGATTTGATCACACAGCTATGCCCTTGCAGTGTTCGTGCTAAATCGTTTACTATAATGAATTCCGCGCGGCATCATCGTATTGGAGTGTTTCTGTCTCCATAAGTTGGCCCACCAGTCACGACGTCACACTAAATCTAAACAATAAGATAACCAAGAAAACGCAATTTGAACAAGGCTCGCAAATTGAAGCCCACACAACGGAAACGGAAGGCAACGCTCTGCAAAATAAAAGTCATCTAGTCAAACGGAAACATCGAAGGAAACGCATCGTCATCAACACAACAGCTGCCCCAAAATCCGAACCTACACCCAGATCAAAACTTGACAACCGGAAGGGGATCCCAAGGAGTGACCGCAAAGCTGGCTAAGAAGATGCCATACCATCGTGGAGGAGATGCCTCCTCGCAGGCCGACAAGTTGAGCGGCATCGTGGAGGAGAGTGACCTCTATGAGGGATTTGCTCCACACGTGGAGACATCGGGAATCAAGACCCTTGACTTTTACAATCTACCAAAGCCCACTGGTGAGCGCATAATTTATTTATACTATTAGATTTATGGGAGGTAAAATAATGTTAAAAATTTACACAGTTTAATTTTAACTTTTACGGTAGGTTTGTTAAGGTTATTTTTTAATGAAAATGAGTAAGCAATATTAATGGTTTATTTTGGGCAATGGTTAGTTAAAGTCCTGGGTTCTTTATTTGTGAGATAAACTGATTGCTGATTAGTTTGCTTAATTAATTCTTATAAAACAAGATGTGATTATTATGCCAAAACAAACTTATGAGTATATATTTTAATATTCCGTAGTTGGGAATTTTATATGCAACCTCAGAATCTTATAACGGATTAATATATATTCATTCTGTATTATTCTCTACATAATATTTAAACTCTATAAACCCGTTGAAAAGGTGTTAAAAATTCCTTATTATCCTCTCCAAGTTCTTTTCTTATTCTGTTTACCATTTTTTCTGTGAAATATATAAATCAGAATTGAAACAAATAAACAAAATAAATTTCAACAAGTATAGAATCTCATAAATATACTGTAAAAAAGCAAATACCTGCAAACAAGAGTAATTAAAATGAAATGATCAGCAGGAGTAAGTTGGATCGAAAAATAAAAAAGTGAAATCTCTTTTGCGTTAATGAGTTTTCACGTGAAAGATCAGATGATCATAGCAAATGCTTCATTCATTGAGTGGGAAATTTTAATTTATGCATTATTTGTTTGCTTTTTTTTGTATATATATATGCATTTCGTTTCGTACAAAATACATTAATCAATGGAACAGTCCGAAAAACGGTCGAGTACCAAAAGTAAACACTAAAATAAATTAATTATAGGTATTTTGAAAATAATCAATGCGTTACGCCTTGCCATTCTGACCCCCGTCTGTGCAAAAACAAGCTTCTAGTATATTTCTCACTGGATATATTGTTCTGTGACTGCTGTATATATAATATATATACATTTTGTTGGGCTATTACTGCACGCAACCGTGAAATGAAATAAAATAAAAATATTTGTATTTATTTAAGAAAAACCCCGACAGCAACTGCCTGTCAAATTAATGCAACGGCAAAGTGTAAACATTGCCACAGCAGCAAAATTTTTCGTATTTAAATTCGATTTGGACACGCAAATGCAATGGCTAAAAAAAGCTGATATTGATTTTCTGTTGTTATCACACATTTTTTTTATGCTAAAAAATATATATGTGTGTTTTACTTGATTTTACACCCACTTAATGCTGTAATATGTGATTTTATCGAGTGTGCCACTTCTCTTTATGTATTGGTTGTATATTTTTTCGGTTCATTCGAAAATGGAACTCTTTATTATTTTGTTTATTTACATTAAAAGTGCAAATTGCAATTTACATGCGAGTTTTACAACGTATTTTCCATTAATTTTCGGTGAGCATTTACAGAATTTCCATTTCGGGGAACTTAAATTGCGCCTTAGTAAAGGAGTACATATAATGAAAATTAGAGAAAAACCAGAAAAATATACCCTTGTAGCTTGAAATTCAATAGCTAACCTTAAAATATTGGGATTTGAATTTATATTTATAGATATATTTATATTTATATGACAATTTGTTTCACAAATCACAGGTTTAAAAAATGCATAACTAAGCCAAAAAAGCTTTAATTTTAATTGAGAAAACTTTCCCATTTTAGTTTTTAGTAGGTTTATAAATCTGCATACAAGAAATACAAAACTTAAGAAATGCATTTTTTGTCAATTTTTTGACAACTTTTTACGATGTGACCCCTTATAAAATATGAAAAAAATTTCGAGTAATTGTTTTCAATCCGACACGTCTAGATAAACGCAGTTTTTAATGCTGATCAAGAATACATATGATTTATAGGGTCGGAAATGACTCCTTCACTGGGTTTTAAGCTTCTAAATGAAATTATGATACCCTGCAAAAAGTATATAAATATAGATGCAAATTTAATCCAGATTTCTTGGCTAAAAAAACCTCTGCCAATTTTAAATTGCGTCTTATGATTGGAATAAATTGGCTGTGCAAATGGCCAAATGGCAAATTCGATTTATTTCAATGTGGCATCAAAAGCAATTGCATTCTACAGCATTTCATTATTGATTTGGAGCCGCCAGAGGTACGATCGAATTTTTCCCAAATCGATTATACAAAGTGTGATAATTTTAATGCATTGTTACTTTGATATATCCAACTTTACTAGCCGCTCTCGCTGTCTGTCAGAATGCCAAAAGCCGAAAGCCACTAAATGTTATTTCGATTCCAAAAGGCTATCGGGGAAATGCAATTCAATCGAAACATTAGTGCATCAACACCCACACACTGATGACATTGGCCTTGATTTTGATTTACAAAATAATGAGTCTTGTGGGGGAAAATCCATTAAATGCATTTGGATAAAACCCATGTCTATATATAGGAGTCATCTCTTGAATCTTTTGGTTTTTCCCCTCGCAAAAAAATATATAGTTTCAATATTATACTATATTCCATCTATAAGTGCTGAATATTCCTTTAACATTATGAATTTAGAGTATAAAATTCTTCTGGTGTTGTGGAAACACACAAACAAATAAAAACATTCACGTTTTTATGGCACTTGGCTAGCGGCCAATTAAATTGTTTAAAAATAAATGCAATTTTTTCATCACTCTCTCGTGCTTGTGGCTATTTCGCCATGATTTTATTTTATATATTTTTTTCGTGTGTAATATTTTGCGTTTTGATAAAAGTTATTTGATTTGAATCAGCTGCTGATCATGTGATTAAATTTTATGAAAATTTATGATGAACATTTTCGATGTTTCTTAAATTTTTATGGTGGAATTTAACATTATGTTTTCAACTCTAGAACGTATCATTTAAGGGGAATAATAAACCAAATTCTATATAAATACTACAAGTCAGTAAATAATGTACTATGTATTATTTGTCACAGGCAAAACCAGATTTCGGTAAACAAAAATAAAGATTAAATTGTCTTAATCAAAGCCTGCCTCAGATATTAATTAACCTAATCATTTTAAACCCCTAATAATAATAATTTAATATTTAAGTATATATTTTTGGGGAATTTTCTGTGTCATAGAACTGGCCACGTGCCATCCTAAAAACAGATATTATATATTCGAATATTAAAATAGCAAGCAAAAATTCGAATCTTTATGGTTTAAAATCGAGAATTTATTTGTTGTTAGCAATAACAACATTTTTGCTTACGCAAGCAAATGGAAACAGAATATTTTCCCCTCATTTTCTTTTTTTGTTATTTTTTCCGTTGACGTGCAGCGAACCCAAATGAGAGAAAAACAATAATTTTGTTTTGCTATTTAATGCCAAATTATGTATTGCCAAAAAATAAAACTAAACAAGAAATACATTCAAGAAAAAATAATGAAGGGGGAATAAATTTTCATTCAAGAGGAATTTTTTATGGTCCACTTGTACGATTGGAAAAAAGTGTTTTCTTTAAAAAAAAAAATCAAAAGAATTTTATTTATTTCGAATACAAAATTTTCCACTGATCAGTCGATCTTTAGCTATAAATATATGTATGATTTCTACCGATACCCCCAATATTGGATGCTTTAATTTGGTGGGGCACACGACCCTCACCCGCATTTCTTTTCTGACTTTTCCTCACGTGCCTCGGAAAATGTGCGAAAAGTGTGCCCCCGAATGAATCTCTAAAATGCTGTAACTGACTTAAACTGGTTTTTGCGAATTTGCTTTATTTTATTTTCTGATTTATTTATGTTTGGCATTTTGCTTTGGTTTTCTGTTTTGGCTTCTGCCTTTATTTTTAGTTAATTTCTATTTAATTTGTTTTCAAGAGGATTCTCTTGGTTATTTGATGGGATTGCAATTTGCAAAGTCTATTATATAAGTCACGAATTTGCATATTTTATAGTCTGTGAATTTTTTAATTCTGTTCTTTATAAATATATATTTTTGATATATAAATCATTGGGATTTTTTTTCCGTTGTATTTGTTGTATTTTCATTTCCTTTGACCGCTTTGACCGCTGTCTCAAGAATGAAAGTAAAATTTGTAAATACATTTTATAAGAAAAATCCCCTCTGAAAGTTTTCTGCAAGTTAAAATGCCTCTGGATCAAGGTTTCTTAATTAAAGTTTATTCGTGTTTAATTAGATTAACACTATTATGAATTATTCTTTTAAAAGCTTTTTGTGGCATCATATTTTTCGCTTTTATATTTTTATTGTAGTGTGAAAATTAGGTCAGAAATATTTGACATATGGCTTCCTTTGCATAATATATTATATTTTACATGTATTTATATATTTTCCTGAAATATTTAAAATTTAATTCAGTGCTTAAAGGGTATTCTGATCCCTTTTTTTAATTTATTATGTGAGTTCAGGAGATCAAATCCAAAAAACCACACACAACACGCCCACTTGTCGTTAGTCTTTTGATCTTTGAAGGCATAAAACAATCAACAGCTTTGGCCTGTTGAATATCTCGGAGATTTGGATGATGAACGAGGAGAAGCTGAGTGAAAGGGCGGTGGATTTATTTATTAATGGCACTGTTTGTTTGTCCGCCAGTATATATCTTTATCACGATACTTTGCGTGTCGACTGATCGTGTATATATCTCTCTTTCACTGAGTTCTTGATTCCAATTAGGAGCGGAAGGTCTTTCAGCGAACATGGAATATAATTATGAAAAAATACCAAACCGTAAATCAAAGGAAATATGTTTAAAATTAATTTCAGGGATGAAAATGTAGCAAAAAGCAAAGTTATTTTTTTTAGTAAACAAAATGCTAACAGGAATATATGTAATGTATATTGTTTCTATTACTATGGGTTGATTTCTGAAAGTGTTTTGTAAATTATTGTACTGATATATAACTCACATTTGCCTAAAAATAATGCTTGCTTATCATTCCTATATACTATATCATAAATTACAAAGGATCTTACTTGTCTTAAAGTTGAACGTAATGTTTAATTACATAAAAAATCCATCA